TGGATGTATTTAAGTTTTCGTTTCTGGTGCGATCTATTGTTGACTGGAATGCGCTTCCTCCCGAGGTACTTACAGGATGTAGATCCTCACAGGATTTTCAACGAGGGCTGGACTTGTTTTTTGCCTAACATTGTTTGTGTATTGTTAACCTGTTCTCCTCCCACCCCTGCTACAGCCCGCAAGGGCTAGCAGTATTGTAAATAAAATAAAATAAAAATTACGGTGTGCCAGACATGGTATCTGGATGCGTATTACAAGTCTTGTTGCCTTAAAAATAGGGCGTGCAGATATCAAGCAAGAAGCAGGCGCATGCATTGAATGTGTGCTTATGAAAATTTATAGTGTCACAATCAATCAAACAAACAAACTAACTGATAGAAAAATAAATAAATAAATAAATGCAGTAAGCTCACTGTCGCAGATATTTCAACCGTGGACTGCACAAGCATTTTCCTCATGGTAATATTTATGGCAACGACAGTGCATAGCAAATGAACTATCACCATCATTCCTTTTTCCCACAGCCGGAACAGAACTCCAAGCTTTCTTAAATGGTTATAGCGGAGGAGAAGACTAACGCTAGCGAGCAATCATCACCAGCGCTTGGTACAGCCTCGCCGCTCGTGCTCAGAGTCTCTGCTCTGCACTTTGATAGTCGCTGATTGTCTGCTTTCTGGCTAAAGAGTGTGACTGAGTTCCCGTGTCTGTTTCTCTCAACAAACACGGTATGTCTGGCCTGCTGATGAAACCAGCGAGGGCCTATTAATTATTTTATTGCCATTTATGGACTTGCACCGACTTATTTATTATGAAACATTGAGACCACTTGAACAGTTGGTTAGGATAATTATACCAGAAGTAATGACCCCTGGGCATGTACTGAATCAAACTGTTATAATTGGGCGTTGATTCGTGAACACGACTCGTACAGTCAACGAAAGTTACGATAGTCCAAGCGGAGAAGCGACACGGGTCTGCGGTAGACGTCTCTTCTGGGACGGTGTCTCTTACAGATTCCCCTTCAGCCATCTCATGGGAAAGAACAGTGAGTGGCAGACGCTACGTTCGCAATTAGCCCTACTCGGTTCACTGCACTACAGCGCACAGGATGCACAAAAACCGCTTTCGTGCGCAAGGAAGCGAGAAAAATCGCTGGCCGAGCCTTCTATGCGCGCGTCTCGGTGAGAACGGTGAATACGAGGTTCTTTAGAGCTTCGACGACGGTCGGCAGCCTATAGCGAGGAGACAATGCTCCCTTCTCGTAAGAATGCACTGCGTACGTCGCTGTTACAAAGGCAGAGGAGCTCCAGCGGGAAGTCGGCAAGGCTTGCCGAAGCGAACTCTGCGTTGAACAATTGGCCGGATTGTCTGCATTTCCATAGTCCTAATGGGAGTCACTGCCGCAGATGGAGCTGGCTAGAGCTTCCGAGGCTAAGGCTTAGAATAATTTCTGTCGGGCGTTGAGCGGCACGTTTTTCAGTACTCCGTTCACTTCTTCCCGCACGGCCGGTAGCATAATCGTTCTATTTCGACTGATTGCGCCAAACTGCGCGTACGTAGTCGGCGAAAGCCTTAAAATAGCGGCCGGGGCGTTAAAGTGAGTGATGGGCGCCAGTGTTGAGCCATTATTCCAGTGGTAAATAACGGCTCACGTTTTTGCAGACGGCATTAAGGTATGATCCCCGGAGAAAACAGAAGGGGAGAAAAGCGCATCCACGAGACGATTAAGGGTAGGGCCCAGGTAGTGTAGCAGAATTCAGACCGTGAAGGCGATTGGTGCGGAAGGGCGGGGGGGGGGGGGATTGATTGTATTGTCATAGACAGCTGTGGACTGCAGCTATGTAATAGTCCGAGAGCATAGATAGGCGAACTCACTCATAAGTCGACTCACTCAGACTAACTCAGGCTCATATCTGACCTCAAAAGTGAATTTGAGTGAGTAATATTTTAGTTAGTTGGAGTCCCAGTGACTCTGGTTGAAGAAACTTTTATTGAGTGCGAGTACGAGTAAGCCCCAAACGCAAATTGTACTCGTTGGTCGAGTCCATTAAGCTACACCTTTCACTGCCGATATGGTTTATGTACTCATATTCACCATGACTATCTGCCTTACATAGGCTGACCATTATACTAAAGTGAAATTAGAATTACCTCAACGCAATGGTGTGCGTACGCCACCGCAATATTTATTCATCAGAGGCGTAAGTTAAGGGGTTGGGGGGCGGCATAATGTTTTTACGGAAACTGTTTCATAGAAGGAAAGACGGAAGAAGAAAAAGAAGAAAAGGCAGGAAGGTCAACAAGATGTGGGTCTGGTTTGCTGTCCTACACTGGAAGAAGGGGAATGATCGAATAAAAAATGAGAAATAGAAAAAAGAGAGCACAGAAAGAATACTGCTGCGTTCCATGGTAGCGAACGTAGGGAAGTTCTTGATAAAATATATGTCTTGTCAATAGTGTTTTTCATGAAAATGTTCTTACTAGATTAAAATCACTAATAACTCGTCTTTGAATATGGATGAACAAAAGGCGTATCGTAAAGCCACGATTATGCGAGATATTGGCGTTAAAAAACATTGACACCATGGTACAAAAAGCTATTTTTACGTCAAGGGACCCATGAGTCGGCTTTATTATTAGATAAAGCCGTGAGTCTGAGTGAGTTCGGCAGCGTAACATGTTCTTGAGATTGAGTACGAATGAGTCCGGTTCCGGATAAAGTGTAGCTTGTCTTATAGTGAGCCTGCCAAGAAAAATGTATTTCTTGAGTGAGCTTTAGTGAGCTTCATGTTTTTTTTCTTCTTTTTTTTGCGTACGTATGCTTGACAGGAACATAAGTATGGCCGCTGCTTGCCCAACGAATCAGTGTTTAGTTGGGCAGAAACAAAAAAAAAAAGAGTGGGAAAGTCAAGAGCATTATAATAACAAATATCAGTGAATGCGCATGAATAATGATAATAACAAAAAATATTGAGAGACACGAATGGAGGTCACGCTCTTTTTTGATACATCTTTTCTGTCTCCAAACTATCGCGAAGTCTCTGACCAACTCTTCCCGATTCCCACAGAATGGGCTACAGGGTGACGGGACTCCTGACTCCCCCCTCCCCCCCTTGATAGAACAGAAGAATGACTCTTCCTAGACTGGACAGCATGGCAAAAAATAGCTGAAGTGAGAACGATGAAAGCCTTTCGCAAGCCAACGAACGTATATGCTCTGCTCTGCAAACCAGTTGTAAATAGTGTAAATAAACATGTTGTATATAATATACATAGAATCCCATAGTAACCGAGTTTCTGTAACCGAACAGCTTTTTTTAACAGATACTGTGTGAACAATATTTCTTATCCAATGAGTCGATGAGCGTCGTTTGCTCGACATTAATTTGAAAATGCACACGTGTCAAATCGCTCTTCACAATCAAGCTTAATTATGGACTTTCTATTATGTAGCCCTAAAATGTAATTTTCAGACATGTCGTTTGAAATATTTGGGAGTTTCGCTTATTTTTTCTGAAGAGAAAAAGAAATGTTAGAAGGATAGAGACATCACTTTCAATTCTATGCTCTGACCAGCTACTCCACACAGGGGAGTGCAAAAAAAAAGAAATAAACATAAGATCTGGATACTAACAGGCCATGACCTAAAACACGCTTCCGCTTAATTATAGCAGTGCAAATAGCCAACTCGTCTGAAAACATTTTAGAATGCAGTGTTTGCATTAAAATTTTGTAGCTTAGCGTTATGCCACAAAACAAGTTCTAAAAAAGACACATCACCCAGGCACGCAAAAACTCTAATAGGGCAAGCCGATGAGTGCCGAGTTGTTCGCTGCTGGGCCGGAGTGCTGTGAACATACTTTGTGAACCCAGCAATCTAAAACGCACTAGCTGAGGCCGACTCTCTGTCTTTCCATAAATTATATCTCTCTCTCGCTTGTGAATCTTATTACACCATAAATTAAAAATGTGGCTGAATAAACGGTTCGTCCTCGTGACTTGCTAAATGTAGAAAAATTAGATGTCTGTGTGGCGTAAAGTGACGGTATATTCGCACAAGTACGCCACCGTCTTTGTATAACATGGCACATTGTTATTGTGGAGCGTGGTAGGAAAAAAAAAAAAAAACGTTGATGACTGTCAACCATGCTAAGATCAACGTTTAGCTTGCGCTCCGTCGCCAAGCGACACGACTCAATAGTGACCCATTGAAACAAAACATGAAGAAAACACGTATCGTTTTATCACGTTCTGATCAAACTGGATTTTTTTTCGCAAAGGCCTCACACCAGCAACACAGTGAATAATGCCGACGAGACATCCGACTCATCCAACCGTGTAAGATGTTGCACATTCGATATAAATTGTAATGGAACAGGTGAAAGGATTAATCACGGCGCGTAACCGGAATTTCTTGTTACTTTTATTTATTCGAGAGAAGCCGTGCAAGGTGAGCGTGCGATGTTTGTGCCCCTCTTTCCCAGCACCAACCGCGCCACCGAGACAGGAGCACGAGGAGATGCCAGACAACAGGGAAGTGTGCCATCTCCTACCGGCACACAAGGCATCCGTTCGGCGAGCGAGCGTTCGAGTTTCGGGCTTCCACTTTCATCCGAGGAAACTCGTTAGGGGTCAGGACCTGTCCGGTCGAACGCTCTCCCCTTCCTTCGGACGCTGCCAGCCGCCCAGCGAACGCGTCCACGGACGAACGTCCTACCGGCCAGCTATTCTCGCCCCGCGCCTCAAGAATGGCAGTGTTTTGCTCCTTCATCCGGGCCAGCCGGTCACCAGTGGTGGGAGATGGGCCATCCTTTCCTTTTCGCCGGGGAAGTAGCGAAGGCCCTCCTTCTCCCTCCCCACAAACTTTCTCTTTCGCTGCCCTCTCGCGTCGTCGTCCTCTTCCTCGTTGCTGCTGGGAGGCCTACGGCTGACCGAGGGCGCTGCGAGGCGGCCCGTATAAATGCCAAGTGCCCCCACTGTTGAGCACATCAGTCGACAAGAGCAGCAGCGCGGCATCTGGCCCAGCACAGGGACCCGAGCAGCCGCGGCATGAATCCCTTCAAGGTAAACGCGAAGAGATGACAGGACGCGTGCGGTTGTGGAGGCGAGCGCCGTCCCAAGTGGATTACACCATGGCTGCAGAGCCCGGGAATTCAAGAAGCTCGTGTTTCGTTCGCAGGTGCTGACGGTCGCCATGTGCGCCGTCCTAGCGATGGCAGGCGACATCGGTGGAGGCGGAGGCGGTGGAGGCTACGGCGGTGGCGGTGGCTTCGGAGGTGGCCTCGGAGGAGCCAGCTTCCTCGGTGGTTTCGGAGGCGGAGGCTTTGGCGGTGGTGGATACGGGGGCGGTGGATTTGGAGGTGCGACTCCCGCCACGGCGCGTGTAACGCGCCCCTATTGCTTTATCTTGGTCAAAATGGTGTCGTGCTGAGTATTGAATACGAGCATTTCTACTTCACTCCGAGTAGCATATCAGGCGTACTGAAGAAGGATCTGTCATGTACTATTAATGTTCTTGTCAGCTTCAGTATTGCTATTGAAGACATCAGCAGAGGCACGTCCTGAACTACTGTTGTTTGCGCAATAGTTCATTGGCAGAATTCATTGCATAGTAACGAGAGAGCTGTTATAGTGACATTCGGTTTCAGGCAGACAAAGTATGGCGTCTTGGGCCTGCTGCTCTCGACTGCTGTCTCCACGCAGGAGTTGGCCAGCGATAAGAGTATTCGTTGCACTGTCATTGCCACAAGTTAAACTTACGCATTAGGCGCACTTCTCCCATGCCTGCATCGACACTTTATTTACCCTTTTTTTGCATCTTCCTTCAGGCGGTGGAGGTGGCGGTGCCAGCAAGACCATCGTCGTTTCCGTCAGCGGCGGAGGTGGTGGCGGTGGTGGAGGCCCTGCTCCCCGGCCCGTAACCCGCTACACTGCCCATATAGACCGAACGCCTTTGCCCATCAAGTACAAACAAGGCCTTGTCGCCACTGGCAACGGCATCTCCCTTGTAGAGCCCATCATGGTCGCCACACAAGTTCCGGGGCCTAGGATCAGTTTCCCGCAAGGCATTCCCCGACCACAGCAAGCCTCTGTTCACGTAGCTGAGATTCAGAGGGTCGACGGCGGAGGCGGTGGATTCGGAGCCGGTGGTGGGGGCGGTTTTGGCGGTGGAGGTTTTGGCGGTGGCGGATTTGGTGGTGGCGGATTCGGCGGCGGCGGATTCGGCGGCGGTGGATTCGGCGGCGGTGGATTCGGTGGTGGAGGATTCGGTGGAGGCGGATTTGGAGGCGGTGGTCTCGGCGGTGGCCTTGGTGGTGGCTTTGGAGGTGGTTTCGGTGGAGGATTTGGAGGCGGTTTCGGAGCTGGTGGCGGCGGAGGCGGTGGAAGTGTGTTCCCACATCCCCGAGTAGAAGTAGCTGAAGCCGTGCACAAGATTCCGCTTGGAACAGCAGCCGATACGCATAAGGAGGGAGGCGGTGGAGGCCATGGAGGTGGTGGAGATACTGCTATCCTAAGCGTCGACGTTCACCACCACGGTGGTGGCGGTGGAGGCGGAGGACATGGCGGTGGATTTGGTGGTGGCGGATTCGGTGGTGGCGGTTTTGGAGGCGGTGGTGGCGGCTACGGAGGCGGCGGACACGGCGGAGGTGGCGGAGGCCACGGAGGTGCTGCATTTGCTGCCATTCCAGTGAAGGTGATTGAAGTCGCTGGAGCTGCCGGCGGTGCCGGCGCTGTTTCGGGTGGAGGCGGCGGCGGACACCATGGAGGAGGATGGCATTAGACCTCATGACGTCAGTACCTTAGCACTTGTCTCTGATTGGGTCGTTATGGCGATGATCAGTTAGTTATGCGGATCGTGAATTTTCAGCAGATGGTGATGCTATCGCGGGAAAAGCCAGGAAGCATACAATATTTAAGCCCGCGTTAGTGCTTATGTCTTCGTTTTTCAGAGAAAAAGATCGTGCGTTATCCTCACCTTACAGTTCGTTACGGTACGTTGTACGTCATGCGTTTGTTCCTTTGCTGTTCATTCATAATGTGCTATCGTAACATATTATTCATTATTCGTGGTGGGGATGTTCAGCTAAATGAACCCTGATACCTGATCCTTGCAGCACATTTTATTAGTCGCATAGAAGGACAACGTTTCATTTGCGTTTAATTTTTTAGCGGGAAGCAATGTGAATGGAATTTTACAAGATTGAGCCGACGTGGCTAACGCTTGCTTTGTTTATATTTCTTGCAGGAGCCCACTAGTTGATATGAAGAATTGTTGCCAGCTGCGAGCACATCGCTCTGACCCGCCAAACGCGCCGCGCGTCGAGGCGCCCACCGTGAGCACTGCCACGGCACCAGAGAACACCAGCCGAGCACTGTCATCCTGTTTTGTAATATACTGTTGCGAGACGATGTGTGAACGTCTCAACTTTTCTGTAAAATAAACCTTTGTAAATATGGTTAAAACATTGGTTTCTTTCCTCTTTGTCCTTTCATGCCAAAATAATGTAACGGTCAAATCGAGGAAATACATCTGAAATTTCCATGATGTGTGACCTCCCATATCACAGGCCATGTATTGCTGCAGCGCTACATGTCATTACACTTATCAGCGTAGTTGTTAAACGGCGTGAACTAGGCTGATTATCAATTGGCTGTCTGATCTTTTGTTGCCCAACAACAGGTCAGCAGCGGGGAACGCCTTAACCATGATTTAGAGTAGAGGTCAGCTCCCTGCGGCCCACGGGGGGGGGGGGGTTATTATACGTGCCTCAGCACGAAGTCCAGCTCATACCATTTTCCTTGTCACATCCTATCAGAAAACAGACATGGCAGCTTTCACCTGAAACTGTGTTTTCACTTGCAACTGATGTTTCATTGTAACTTTGCGACATACGAGCTGAAGATAGACATGACGCGTTATTCAATTTTGTGAATTATTGTCGCCTAGCAAAATTTTTACTCTTTGCCTACAGAGCCTTTCTCTCCCCCATCTTTGTCAATATTGTCATCTGGTCCCACACTGTGTCGCTTTTATGCAATTAGGCCCTCCACCCCAAAATGTTACCAACCTCTTGTTTAGAGCGTAAGCACAATTCCACCATTGCAAGCTTCAAATCAACGTTTTATTTTTCACAGAAAACGGCGAATTTCGACCTACTAAGGTTTTACTGGATCATGCTAATATTACAACTTATAGGTATACAACTTTAAGTGACTCGTTTACAAGTAACTGCGCTTGTAAGGAACACTCTTAGAGAGGGTCATTGTATTGTGATGCCTACTTGTTTCGTCACAGGCTGTAAATGCGTTCATCCACGCAGTTAGATGCTGCACGCACGCAAAGTAAAGAATTTAGATTGCTACAATATTGCAAACAGCTTCATCTATTGTATGTTTGCAGTGGGTATCAAAAGTTGTTAGCCAGCAGCATTTGCACCAGAAATAAATTAAAGTGCTCAGCAGCCATGTAAAAAAAGAAGCGGACTTGCAGGGGAAGATGAGGCCTAAAGGAAGAAAAGTTTACTTGCCGAAACTTTGGGCTCTAGTGGTGCCTCGTGCTTATGAATTTCGCAGCGAAATAGCGACTTCACACGATGTTTTTGAAGTAATAAGTAGAGACCGGGCTTAAAGGCACTAAGAAATCGGGTTTTAGTCGCCAGAAATATGCAGGCAAAACGCAGTTTTAGGCCCCCAAAGTTGTAATTGTAGACATAATAAACTTTTTGAAAATTCTGATTTTTGAAGAATTGCGCGCGGTACCTGTGTCTACGACAAGAAAACATACAAAAATGCTTTAGTTTATGGTGGTGGCTATGCTTTAGATTATGGCGCGTATGGTTTAACATAGCCAAGCATTTTTTTTTTGTTTCAGCAGGCTTAGCTCTTTCATTGTTCAGTATGGTGAGTTCAGAGTCTACTGTCGAATAAACATGCTCCTGGGTCTCTTTCTTTTCGGTATGGCCTAGACGAGCAGAAGAGTAGCGAATCGTCAGATCACTAATATGCCAGACTGGTGCTTTAGCCTCGTATTAACCGGGTGTAATACACAGAGGGTGACTTGTTTCTCGGTCTGTGAACAGCCTATGGGCCCCTTGTCAGATTTTAGTATTTCGAGCAGACAAGAGAAATGCATGCACTGGGCGCTACCAGTAACGTCTGCCAGTATTTGCAACGCTACGTGCTCCGGAAAGAGATTGAATGTCAGACTGAACGTCGCTTGCCCGTGATCTATAGGAGGTGCGCACCCCAACATGGCGGAGGTTATGTGTACAACAAGGAACTGGTGCTGCGTATGTCAAAGTCATACGTAACACTGCGAGCATAGCATTGTTCGAGGCGGCGTGTGCAATTTGTGCAATCTGTTCCTTGAATAGAAGTATGAAGGTTGATGGATATATTAAAATATGCAAACGGAATTCATGCACGTTATTTTTTAACTTCATATCGAGCGAGATGCAAGGCTAAGCTGCCTCTATTTCGCTTGAGTTGCGGTGTTCTCACCGTTCTCGCATTGTACCGCGGTGCCAGCCCCCACGATGCTTGACGTGATTTTGGTGCATCGTTCGTTAGAGCAGTTCCAGTGGTGCGACGCTGTGTATCGTGGTAAGGATGCGTGATCCATGGTAGCTTCTCCAAACGTGAGCACATAGAAAGATTCACCAAACAGAAACAGGCAGTACACTACAGGAAAAGCCGACACGACTTGCGCATGTCATGCGAATGCAAACTTGCGTGCGCATGATGTGTTGATGCTTCCGAAGAAGGCAGGGAGAGACTTTCGCTTACGAAGTCTACATCGGGCAAGTGGCAAAGGTTTCAAGCTCACCTCCTGGCTTCATGCTTTCACGGCTCGTAATGAACCAATTAAAAAGTTGTCGTGATACTAATCTATGGCATGCAACAACTTCCAGTGTCTAACTAAAATTCATCATGTGAACTCGTGAAGTGCCATTTAAGAAATAAATGAAAAAATAAAACAAAAACCACATGTGCATCTAGTTTTTTTTCTTACATACATGACACCTTCGCCTGATTACACGCCACGGTTTCGCATTTGTTCTGCATCATCCTGCGTCTGCCCAGAAGCACCTGTTTTTTACGTGTGCGAGCAGACGCCGGGGAGATGCCAAGCAGACGAAGCGAGGCAGAAGAATATATGTGTAGAAGCTAATCAGCCTTGATATTGGCGAATGGGCATTGTAGCCTGGACAATGCTGGAAGGAACTTCTGAGATGGAGTGCAGATTTCATCCATAGATCTTCTAAAGATAAATTTTGGCCGGTGACTTTTATACCAGTCTCAATTGTACCAATTGTACTCGAAAGCAAAACTTGAGATTAAATAGTGTTCACATAGGCATCAATTTTAAAAACAGGCATTTATAGGCACTTTAAGAATAAAGGCACATTCGTAAAAAAAAACGTCGGCATTTATAGTGAGGCGGCATTGAGGAAAGCATTTGGCGTCCCCTCATGGGAGGCTGAAACGTCCACCTAGACCTGCTGGTTTTTGGTAATAAACTTTATTTCTCCTCCCATATAGGCACTAAAAAAATAAGATAAAAGCCATTTTCAACCTCTAATTCATGCTCATATATCAAAGTGGCACGATAGGAACGCCAAATACAAAATAGACATTTGCCTGTAAGTCGGTCTCTCATAATAAGTATCTTTCCGGAAACGACTGGAAAAATAGCTAGAAGCTTTGAAATTTATATTGTGCAGTAAGGCCACAAGTAGCCCTAGTGCCTGCAATAACTTCCACTCGGATTACGAGTATACGCCAACCATCCGCAACACGTGTTTCCGCAATAAAACGTGGTTTACTGCGCCATCAAAGGGTAATATGGCACACAGCGTGTAAATCAACGATACTGTACCATGGCATCAGCAGGTAGAGACACCGCATGCTCATTAAATTTTACTGCAACACGCATCCCGGCGCAATACTTCGCTCTCGCTAGTGCTGATATTCAGTACAGTGACACAGGCAAACCTTCCAGTTAACAGACGGCTCTTGAATCACCTGTATCGAACGTAATTAACAATGGACCGAATATACAGAGGTTTTAGTTCGTAAGCTTAGTTTACGACACCTCCGACATCAGGATTAGCTTCTAATAAAAAAATCTAGCGTAAGATGTGTCTGGATTTGTAGATTTTGTGTGAGGTTGGATCGCACGATTTCGCGAAGGTTCTGAAAGTGGTGGCTTCTGTGCATGTATTTCGGACGACACTTCAGGCAATGTTGCAATGGACGAGGAAGGCACTGCGCCGTGCTCCCGACCGGGTTGCAGAAATTAGGTGCCTTTTCTCATCTTCTAACCACTACCACCACCACGTTGCTTGGAACGTGAGAAGGCAGCAGTGAGTGCTATGAAAGCCCACTGCTGTCCCGGTAAACGAATTGAGTGCAAAAAGAATAAAATCGTCAAGAAACTAGAAAAAAGACAAAAAACATTTCGTTTTCTCTTTATTCCCCGTTTTTATTTATTTGTCGCTTAATATATCCAACGCGTTTGTTTGAGATTCCTCGGGCGGCGTTTGTTAGTTAGCTTTGATCCCTATGAAATAGCTAGTCAATCATCCAGACGCACGCTCTCTCCCCCTCTCTTTTTTACTTCCACCTTCTCTTTCGGACATCTAGCTTGGCAATGTGGATGAAGCACAGTTGGCCAGGTCGGCCTTTTCCCTCCTCTTTCTTACGATATCGTAGGTATACGAAATTCCATTCGTGTTAGGTCGCGTAAGAACTTTGTATAAGCCTTCGTTCTCTCCCCTTCCTTTCAAAACGCTGCATTGATGGAAAATGTGAATATCTGTGACAGTAGGTCAATAACCCATTTATATGTACAACACACACACAAAATTTTTACTTTCTAAACGCAAAAAGAGCACAGCTTTTAACGAGAAAGTGACGGGGTTCCAGGAGCACAAAAATGATTTAATTTTGCCTCTCAGGACCCCTAATAAACCTCTAACATGCATCCATGCATTGGAGGGAGTGTTAGGTGTCATAATAGTTACGGAAGGCAAAGGCCGACATCGTTTTTAGCTATGACGTGAACAGGGTATGGTATTGCGTAGAGTAGCTAAGTTCGTTTTGTTAGTCAAAGGTTAAAATGTTTCAAATAGCTATCTCACGGTAATGTCCTGTCTCGAACATGGCTGACAACCACCTATATGGCACTGTAGTTGAAATTACGAATAAAAAAACTGCGCACAACTGAAGGCAACGAGGACGGCGACAAGATGAATGGATGGTTCAAGAATACACACCCGACCACAACTTCAAGGAGGCGCAGAAACGTGAGATTACCGCGTTCGGATAGGCCGAAGAAGGGAAGAAAAATGAAATGGGTATTTGAAAAAGTGACAAGGAGAGTTTCGCAGCCTCAAAACTCGAGCATGTGCAACGGGCATCGAGGCCAGGCCCGTTAGTTTCCTGTAGTGTATTGAGCCCGC